TATAATATCTAAATTAATAGGTAATTTAATTACCTGAATTAATAGGTTGATTGATTAATTAATTAGAGACAGAGTCTCACTACGTAGACCAGGCTGACCTCAAGCTCCCAGCGATCCTCCTGTCTCAACCTCCTGAGTACTGGAACTACATCTGTGCACCACCACACCCCACCTTTCCAGTTCACTTTTTTTTTAGTTTTATGTATTTGGTGCAGGGTCTCATTACACATCTCTGACTCATAGTAATCCTTCTGTCTCAACCTCCCCAGTGCTGGGATCACAGGCGTGCACCACCACGCCCAGTCTTGGTGGCCAGCTTGGTGTGTCGGGGACAAAGCTGGCACGGTACATGGTATTTTGGATCGAACCCAGGTCCTTGCACTTGCCTAAGCAGGCACTCAGACCACTCAACCATCTCCACTGCCCTCCAGTTTACTTTCGATATCATCTTGAATTTAGTTATCAGTGCTGTAAGTTTTTTAAAACCTCCAACATTTATAAGCATTCAAAGTAGTACATTCATGCATGCAAAAAACCTCTACAAGGGGCCGGGGAGATGGCTCAGTGGAATAAGCGCTTCCCTGGCAAGCGCAAGGGCCTGAGTTCAATCCCTGGTTGGGGGGGAGGGGGAAGCTCCACAAAACTACAGTACATCCTTTGTGTGTGTGTGTGTGTGTGTGTGTGTGTGTGCGTGTGCACGCGCGCGTGTCAGGCCCTTGCGTTTGCCAGGGAAGCGCTTATTCCACTGAGCCATCTCCCTAGCCCCCAAGTACATCTTTTTTTATGGATTCATAAATACATAGTAAAAGTACAAACACATACATGGAAGGAGGACTACATTCTGAAACTTCCTTGACTCTCCAAGTAGTTTATAGAGGCAGAAGGGAGTGAGAAGAATGTGGTGTAGCTGTATGACTTGGCGCAAGTTTTCCACCCTGAGAATTGGTTTGTTTTTAAAATAGAGCAACATACCAGTGCTACACTCACAACTATAATCATCCCAGCACTGGAGACGCTTGAGGCAGGAGAATCACGAATCTGAGGCCAGCCTGAGTAACTTAGGGCGCCCTTGTCGCCTCAAAATAAAGGCATGGGCGGGACGGAGCTCTGCGGTGGAGCACCTCAGGGTTCCGGCCCTGGCACTGAAAAGCAAGGCTAGCGATATGGCAGCTAAATGGGGTTATTAAAAGGATTCAACAAGATAATTTAGGTACAGCACCCAGCATAACACATGACACAGAAAGAGTTTCTCCCTCTGGATGTAGTTGCATTGCCTGTAACCCCAGGACTGAGGAAGTAGAGACAGGAGGGGC